CTGACACCCTCACACAGACACATATGCAGGCAAAACACCAATGTATATTTAAAAAAAAAATAAACCCAGTGAGGAACGTGGGTGTTGCTGTTCCTACCCTCTAACGGAGGGAACTAAGGCTGAGAGAGGCGAAGGCATTTGGGCTAAATCATGCCAGTGTAAGCGCCTGGAATTTAAAGGAGCTCTTCCTGTCTCACCTCAGCATCCTAGAAGCAGAATATTCTGGACTCTTACTTTGTGGGAGCAGTCAGGCCAAGGTGTCTCCTGAGCTGTTGAGGGCTAAAGGCCGTATAGGCACCAGAGAATGCCCGGGAGTGGTTTTATTGTTTGTCGTAGTGGTATGTGCATTTTAAATGTTCGTGACAGGGTCTAATGTACCCGAGGCTAACCTCAAACTCAGTACATAGCTGAGGATAACCTCAAACTTGCGGTCCTCCTGCCTCTACCTCTCATGTGCTGGGGTTGTGGGTGTGCATCACTTCTCCTGGTTGGTGCCCTGCTGGGGCCTGAACCCAGGGTATCAAGGCATGCTAGGCAAGCACGCTACCAGCTGAGTTCTCTCTCTAGTCCTGGCACCAGGATAACCTAGAAGGAGACAAGTAAACCAGAGAGTCAGCCTCGGGGTAGGGGGAGGAACAGGCAAGCCACCTGAAGGCCACTGTTGCTTCGCGTGGCCACCTTGGTAGCAGAGGAGTGTCCTGTTGTGTGTGCCTTCCCTGGGTGCCAGGCAGACTCCAGCCAGGTCTCAGATGACTGATCCGAGGCTCAGAATGTCACCTGTTTTCCTCATGTGCTTATGGGACATTCACCTTTACTTGGGGCCGATTTCAAACAGGATAATGCTGTGAAAGGCTATGACCGTGCCAGATGGACAAGGGTTCAATCCATGGTTTTCTTCCTGTTTGACCAGGACCTTGACCCAAGCAGCGGCACAAAGTGACAGATCTAGGACAGGCTGGCCCAGGATGTGGCCTGGTGCTCCTGGGTTGGCCTTGGCCCCCACCTGTCATTCTGGGCCCCAGCACATAGACCTTTCTCAAAGCCTCGCTCCTTCATGGAAGCCAGACAGTTTGGGGGCCCAGGTGCAGAGTTGGCTGCTGAAGGGAGACTTTCAGAGTGATCTGTAAGTGACAATAGTTCTGGGTCCCCAGATTCCTCCACCCTGCAGGCAGACATCACCTCCTGGGTCGAGGAGCAGGCAGAGGAGCTGGCCTGCCCCTGAGACCCTCTTCCCTGGCCCAGATCTTGTTTATTTGTTCAAATTGATAGCAGGGTTTTCTGGAGTCTAAAAACAGGCAGATCACGTTGTTCTGGCAGCTTCTCGTGGGTGGGTTTGGTGACGTGGCCATGGGGAGGATGGGTGTGTTGCTCAGGGCTGAGGGTTCAGGAGAATTAGCTTGCTCTGTTGTGTTCTCTGCCCTCTTGCTCTGGTTTTCTGGTCTCCCGGTTCCTGTAGGCTGGAAGGTGGTTAGCTACTGTGACCAGATTTCTTACCCTCTCTGGAGTCTGCTTGGGACCTTCTGCAATACTGAATGTTGTCATCTTGCTGTCCTCTGCTGGGCTTGCCGTGTACAGTGCCTACGTCATCCACTGAATCCCTGCTGCCCTGTGAGGTCAGTCTTGTTCCCAGGGTACAAAGGCACCCAGGCTCAGAGTGAGTATGTCATTCACTCAGTCTTAGGCTGGACAGAGTCAGAGCCAGGTGTTGAATCCAGGAGTCAGAGGTGTTGTATGTGTTGATTCTTTGTCTTCAGAGAGATGAAGGGCACATGCGTGTGTGTGCGTGTGGCCTGTGTGTGGCTACGTGTGGAGGCCAGAGGACAGCTTCTGCTGTGCCTCTTTTTTTTTTTTTTTAATTTAGATTCTCTTCTCTCGTTGATCTGGAACTAACCAAGTAGTCTAGGCAGGCTGGCCAACAAGCTCCATGATGCTTCTGATTATGCCTTCCCAGTACTGAGATTATAAGCACATGCTACCATCCTGGACTTTTTTAATATGTGTTCTAGGAACTGAACTCAGGACATCATTTTTTTTCCCCCGAAACTGGGTTTCTCTGTGTAGTTTTAGTGCCTGTCCTGGATCTCGTTCTGTAGACCAGGCTGGCTTCGAACTCACAGAGCTCTGTCTGGCTCTGCCTCCTGAGTGCTAGGATTAAAAGCATGCGCCACCACCGCCTGGCTCTCAGGACATCATTTTTGCAAGGCACATGATTAAATTCTTCTCAGCCCAGATAAAGTCTTTTTTATTTTATCTTATTTGTGTTTATAGATATGAGTGTTTTGCCTGCATATTTGTCTACATAACCTTGTGAGCGCCTGGTACCTGAAGAGGCTGAAAGAGGGTATTGGATCCCCTAGAACTGGAGTTACATATGGCTTTGAGCTGCCATGTGGGTGCTAGGAATCAAACCCAGGTCCTCTGGGAGAACAGCCATATCCTAACCACTGAGCAATCTCTCCAGCCCCTTATCTTATCTTATTTTATTTTAATTACGTGTATATGTGTCTGAGTGTGGGTTTGTATGCTAGTGCAGTATCTGAGGAGACCAGAAGAGGCCTTGGGTCCCGTGTTGCTGGAGTTATAGGCAGTTGTGAGCTGCCCTATCTGGCTGCTGGAAACCAAATTCTGGTTGTCTGGAAGATCAGTATGCTGTCTTAACTTCAAGCCATCTCTCCTGCCCCCAAATAGTGTTTTTGGAACTAGAGTTAAAAGCTTCTGGAGTTAATTCACTCATTGCCTTATTTAATCAGCCCCTTTGGAGTCTGGGCAGGATCTGGATTACACTCCACAGCTGTAAGCCTTCCCCCACCATATGGGGACACCGGTCACTAGGGGTGGGGGCAAAATTGTGGACTTAAAGACAGATACAGCTCCATAATAGCTCCATGAAGGAAGGCTGCTCCCTTGGTATAGGGTGGGCATGAGAAATGACAGAAAGTCCCTAGAGGAAGGCTGGTCAAAGGGAATGATGTATTTAGGGAACAGTCAGAGGTCTTGCTCATCCTTGATTCTGGGGCCTCCAGTGGGGCCTTTCGTTCTTGGCGTTACTGAGCTCTGGGGCCAAAGAGTTCTTTGCTGTGGAGGGCATTAAGGGTCCTGTACATGGTGTGGTGTTCAGCAACATCCCAGGCATCCCTCCGAACCCTGCTGCTCCTCAGTTGTGACAACTAGGAATGTCCCCAGACCTTGCCATCTGTCCCCTGAGGGATAAAAGCATCCCTGGATCAAAACCATGGACTTCAAAGAGCCCCTGGCCCATGAGAATGCTCCCTAAATACTACAGCAGCAGTTCTGTGTGGGCCCCACGTTCGGTGGAGTCATGGTGAGTTGGTGATATGGACGCTGTGTAAGAGGCCAAAGAGCTATAGATAGGACCAGAGCCTTGGCTGCTGGTGGAACGTTTCAGCCATTTGGGTGAACAGGGGAGAGAAGGAACAGGTCCATTGGTTAGGAGATTTTGAGGAGTTACGTCCATGTTACAACGCCACACTGAGTTCTACTATCCTGTAGTCTTCGCTTTTAAATGGCTCCCATAGCACTTGTGTAGGGTGGATGATGCTAAGAAGTCAGAGGCTCCGCCCCTCTCCTAGCACACCCCTCTATAATTACTGAGTGATTAGCTGCTGCTGAATCAGAGACAAATGAATCAAGTCTAGTTGGGGCTGGTGGCATTTATTACACACCTGTTGTGTGCCATGCTTGGCAGTGACCCAGGTCCAGAGTGCATAGGAAAAACGAAGCAAGAGGAAAACACATCACATGTTTGTGTCTGAGTATGTGCACCGTCCCCTGAATGTCTCCAGGGTCCCAGGAGAGTGCATGATACCTTTAAAAATGTTATTTATTACTAAGTGTGTGTGTGAGCAGACGGTGCGCGCATGTGGGCATATTGCCCCGGCCGCACACGTGAGAGGTGCAGAGGACAGATAGGCTGGGTCCTCCCCTTCCTGCACACAGAGTCCCAGGACCGGCCTCTGGGTGTGAGGTTTGCATGGCTCCAGCTTTTACCTCTGACCATCGCTCCAGCCTGCATTGTTCTCCTTGGGTCTAAATTCTTTGAAGGCAGGAGTTGGAGTTTGTTTATTTGCTTGCTTGTTCTCAGGCAGGGTCTGGTTCTGTAGCCCTAGCTAGTCAGGTAATCACTGTGTCGCCCAGGGGTGGCTTCCAACTCAACAGTAGTGTCCTGCCTTGGCTCCCCAAATGCTCTGATTATAGATAGGTGTGCACCTCCACACCTGGCTAGGAGCCATGTTTTTATTTTAACTTTTTAAAAGTTGTTTTGAGACGGAGTCACCTGTAGCTTTCTGTGAACTTACTACATAACAGGTTGATTTTGAACTCCTGATCTTCCTGCCTCCACCTCCCTGGTGGGGCTGGGATTATAGGTATATATTAGCAGGCCCATAGGAGTCAAGTTTTTGCAGGGCATGGTGGTGCACACCTTTAATCCCAGCACTCAGGAGGCAAAGGCAGGCAGATCTCTACAAGTTAGAGGCCAGCCTGGTCTATGCCACGAGTTCCAGCCCATCCAGGACTACATAGTGAGACCCCATCTTGAAAAAGAAAAAAAAATGTTTTAACTGTTGGGGCATCAAGCGTCCAACAAAATAAGTGTCAATGGATGAATGAACCCATGAAAAGAAAGCGTCGGCCGTAGAAAGAACATCTGCCCCCTCGGAGGGGGAGGAGGACAGGGCTCTTGTCTGTCAGAGCAGAAATCTGGGGTACTTCAGCCGGTGCTTGGCTGTGGGTTGGGCCTGATCGTCTTCCCCTGTCCGATGGGAATTCGGGCACAACCTAGAGCATGGGAGAGGATGAGCTGGGAAGCGGGAGTGCACCCCTGAGATGCTTAGCACAGGTCATGACATCAGGTGTCAGGCCCAGACACACAGTGGACAGGCTGCTCTCCCTCCCTGCCAGCCTAGGTGGGTACTGAGGGGTGCGTGTCCAGCACCGAGGCCTTTGCAGCGGTTCCTGATGCTCTCCCCTGCCATCCTCAGGTGCCATGTTACTCCTATGGGCAGAAGCTGTCCAAACTGGCCATCCTGAGGATCGCCTGCAACTACATCCTGTCCCTGGCGCGCCTGGCTGACCTGGACTACAGCGCCGACCACAGCAACCTCAGTTTCTCCGAGTGTGTGCAGCGCTGCACCCGCACCCTGCAGGCAGAAGGACGCGCCAAGAAGCGGAAGGTATGCCCCTGCACCCAGCCAGCAGCCTTAGGGGAGGTGGGGACAGGAAAGTGGGGGTGCCCCGGGGGTGCCCGGGAATCCCAGGTGTCCTAAGAGGTCAGCTTCTTGGAATGTTCTAGTAGACACCTCGGATTCAGGAATCCTTAACTTCCCTGGGATCATGGGTGGAATCATGGGCATAAAGCTTCTGGGGACTTTGGATAGCCTGGAGTCTCTAGGTTTGGGTTTGCTTTTTGCTTAAAATGAAGACAACGGTCCATCTTGGAAGCCCTTCCTCCTCTTATGTGATCTGAGGCTGAATTATCCATGTGGCCCTGACAGATGTTATATCAGGATGAGATTTCCCTGAATAGGTGGCATCCCAGGAGAGGCCTTCTGCAGGTCTGGGGAAGTGATATGAAAGTTTGCGTGAGGGTGGAGGCTATCTGTTCTTTCTTTTATTTCACGTATTCATTTTGGAGAGATTCACTGAGCAGGTTGGATGGGGGGATGAACTTTCTATGCAGGGATAGGGTGGTCAGAAAAATATCCCTGGTGTGGATGGAGAGTGTGGCCTATCATGGGGCGGGGGACGGCCAGAGGGAAGAGTCACAGAGTTGTTCTCCTGCCCAAGAGAGCTGGGCAGAACGTCTTATTGGAAGTGGCATTTGAGCTGGGAACAGCTAAGAGGCCACCAGGCAGATAAACAGTGGACAGCCCTGGAGACAGAACGGACAGCCTGTACTAAACCTCGTGTATTTAAGGAAATCTGTGGAGGAGGAAAGGGGCTGGGCACAAGCATAGTTTCCTACATGCCTGATGCTTCAGGATATCCACTCAGGGCCCAGTGCGTAGCAGAGTTCCTGTAGCTGTCTGGGCTCTGTTCCCCTGTCATGCCTGGCAACAGACAGTGGGACCCAGTCTGTCCTTGAGATGCGCGGGAGGTCCTGGGAACAGGAGCTGGGGACTCTTGGTATCCTTCATCCAATCCCCTGCTTGAATCCTTTGGGCCTGCCCCTCCCCCCGGCTCTTTTTAGGTAGGGAACCTATGGCTTGCCCTGATTTCCCGGAGGCTGCCGAGGCCCCAGCCAGGGAGGCCCTCCTCAGGGGGTGCTACCAGCCCCTAATTGCACACTGCATTCCTGGGAGTGATGTAGCAGGGCCAATTAAGAGAGGCCCTCATCAAGCGGGCCGAGAGAGGAAGCGCCACTGGCCACTCTGGGGCCAGCTTTCCTGCTTTCCTTGGGAGAGTGACATGGGTAAATGAAGGTGTGATTGATGGCCCCATGCCGCGTGCTCTGTGACAAAGAGGTTGGTAAACTCTTGGTGAACTCCTGTGGCATTCGGCTGTTGGTGTGTGTGTGTCCCTCAGTGGTGCAGATAGGCAGCATGGGCAGGCTCCTTACCTCTCCCCCTCCTCCTCCTCCTCCTCCTCCTCCCCCCTCTTCATACCCCCTTCCCAGTCCCAGCAATGCCAGACCCCCCACCCTCCCCTGCTAGTCCTTTGATTGGCGTAGACAGCGCCCTGCAGCCCCAGCCAGAGAGCCAGGGAAACGGGGCCAGCAGAGTGAGATGCCCCACAGAGTCCTGTGACATCACCTCAAGCCTAAGAAACCGTAGAGACCTCCCTTCTGTACGGACGAGGACATGGAAATAGCAGGCTGTGGATGAGTTACCGGACAGCCCTGGCTCTTACCTACAGCTGAGGACCCTTTCCTAACCCCTCAAGCTTCCTTGACAATCGGAACTCGTGGGGCACTCACTCAGGGCTGCCTCAAAGATGGAATGTGTCTGCGGGTCTCAGAAGGGAGGACAGACCTGCCTGCTTGGTGACTGGTTGGAGGATGCTTCCCTTTGTTCTGGGATGGGGGGCGGGTTCCATAGTAAGCACATGTTTAGATATGTCCTCTCCACTCAAAGTAGAAACTGGACCCTCACCTGTGGCCTCCCAGCCACTGCTTCTGCTCACCGAGGCTCTCCTTCTTATGTGCAGAACGGCCTCGTTGAGAAGCCTCATGTGGCAAGTGGGGGCGGAGGCTGTGTTCCAGCTCCAGGGCTCAGCACTGCCAGGCCACAGTCTGGGACACTGGCTGGGTCCAAAGGATACCACCCCAGCAGACATCTACCCCTTACAGAGCATGTGACGTACGCAGGTGATCGAGTGGGGTCTTAAAGCCCTCCGTATACCTATTCCCTGCACGGTACCCTCTTTGTGACCCATACGGAGGTAAAGATAGATAGAAAAAGTTTGCCACACTGTCCCTGCCACCTAGTGGCAACAGGACATTGTGGTTGGAGGATTTGGAAGCCAAGAGTGACCAGAGTGAAAAAGGCGAAATCTAATGAAGAATTCTTGTTCTTTGCATGGAGTCTCTAGCCATCAGAAGCCACCAGGAAGCCGTGGATAGAGTCGAGTCTGTTCTGCGGGTGGGAGGGTTGGGCAGATTCGCCCAGAGCCCTGTTGGGCCTTAGAGAGGACAAGAAGATAAGATCTGGAGGCTTCCATGCAGGTGTCTGCTTTGCCCTTTATGGATCTTGAGTAGCAGGGTGACTCCATGCCCTGGGCTTGTCGTTATCATCACCCTTGAGGAGGCCCTGGGATAGGGCACAGGGGCCTTGGCTAGCTCTGAATGACATCATGACATACCCTCCCTTAGCTTCTGGGCAACTCAGGAACACGAGGGGCCCTTGCTGTTCTTCCATGGAAACTGGGATGACAGTCTCAGGTGACGCTCACCTCCCCAGCCTCTTCCTACCAAGGCTGAGGCATGGTTGGTTGCTTGCTCTGGGTTCCGGGCTTGAGAAGTCCAGTAGTCCAGTGTTGGTTTCTGAGAAGGACTTTCTTGGCTTTTCTCACCTGGCCAAGAGCATCACACAGTCAGACAGCAGGCATGCTAACTCAGGTTTCTCTTTCACTTACAAAGCCAGGACTGTCACTTAGGGCCCCACCTTGATGACCTCGTCTCATGTAATCAACTCCCAGAAGTCCCTGCCCCCGTGTTATTGACAACATGAGTTTTGGAGTTGAGTTTCCAATACACGTAACTGGGGGCACATGTGTTGTGAAGTTGAAACCCCATCACAACTCATTTACATTAAAAAAATAATTCATGGGGGCAGAGGGGGACATGTGCCATGCTTGTGGAGGTCATCAGAGAAAAACTTGTTGGTTGTCTCTTTTCTGCCACCTAGGATCCAGGGATAAACTCAGTCCACTGGGCTTGGTGGAAGGTGTGTTTACCTTCCGAGCCAGCTCACGGGCGGCCACCTGACTCAGCCCATTTGAACTCAAGTTTAAAAACTTAAGTGGAGCCTAGTGAGATGGCTCATAGATGTAATCTCAGCGCTCCAGGAGCTGGAACAGAAAGACTGCCAAGAATTCCAGGCCAACTCTGGCTATCGAGTGAGCCCCCCCCCCCCCCCCCCACGCTCCCCAAAAGCCTTAAGTGGAAAGAGTAGTTCTGATTGGAGACCACCAGGAAGGATGGCAAGAGGCTGGAGGCAAGGGGCTGTGGGTAAAGACTGCTGTCTGTGAACAGATGTCTGCTCTGCCTCTGTGACGCTGGTGGTCCTGGCCACTGTGACGGGTGACAGTTTGAGCTGGGGGATTGCTCCATGAGCGATCATGTCCCCGAGAGGCTGGGTGACCCTCCTTCAGGATATCTGTTTGAGAGCCTGAGTCCAGTGAACTCCTGACCCCCCACCCCCACCCCGTGAGCCACCCTGCCCCTTCAGGTCTGTGTTAGGAACGGAGCCAACACTGAATGTGGTCCACTCCCTGGGCCTCAGGTGTGCCTCTCTGTCCATCACAGCCCTCCACCAGCCATTCTCCCTTTCTAGCTTTTGAGTTTTGACCCAACTCATACACCCTGGCAATGCAGGGAGCCCTGTGAGAGGCCGTTCAGCAGAGACAGGGCGGGAGGGGGAAGGGTCTAGGGAGGGCTGTCCCAGCTCTGCTGAAGAGAGCAGCTGAACACCTGGCTCCTGCAGCCTCAGTTTCTGTAGTGGCGCCTTCTGGGAGCCTCTCAGGAGGAGGACCGACCTGTTCCTTCATACCTGGCCTCTGTCTGTGGGACCTGCCCAACCTCCTGTCTAGAACACCCTCTTCCAGGGATTTCAAGTAGCTCCATTACAACATCTCCTGCTGACATCCATGACGTTGTTTGAATCTTGGTAATGAATGACCACTAAGTCCCGGCCTTAGTTGCTCACCGACAGTGGGGTAGGACGGGAGGGCAGGATAAGCAGCAGTCCCTTGAGGAAGCCAGGGCACCAGCCTGCTTGTGTGGCACGTAGGGCTGGGAAGTGGAGAAGCGCCTCTTGGTGTGGGTGCCCGGGAGTCTGAGACTTCTCTAGCAGGTGAAGTTTTCTCCTTCTGCTGTCCACTGCCACCCGGGGGGAGGGGGAGCTTTTTAAGGTGATGGCAGGTGGGGTACCAGACTGTCAGTTCTGGGCACGGACCAAGGGCAGACTGGTTTTGGGTGGCAGTCAGTAGGGGAGAGGGGAGAGTCAGTATGAGCTTTGGGTGTTCAAGGTCGCCTCCTATCTAGGTGGCTGAGTCCTGAACAGTCCTTTTGTTCATAGAGCCTGGGTGCGTGTGGTATAGTCTAAAGAGCCCCTCCCCGGCTGGGTCCAGCTCCCTCACTCTGTGTGGGTCCAAGCACCCACTGAGGGTACTGTCTTAGCTGTGTCCCCAACCTGCCTCGGAAGTGGTCACTCCCACACTGCCTGGCTCTCCCCTTCTGTCCAGCCCACCTCCAGACACTGACTACTTCCCATGTGAAACTCAGGCAGGCCAGGGTGGCCCTCAAATCCAAACCCTCTAGGATAAGTCATTGAGTTAAATGCCATTTGCTCTCAAAGCCTGTGGAGTCCATCTATGCTGGGAAAAAAAAAAGAGAGGTGTGTGGGAAAGAAACCACCACCCAGTTCCCCTCCAGTCGTAAAAATGGATGCAATTTATTTTTTCTGGCATTCCAATTACATAGATGTTTGTCGCCAGCTGTCCCAACACGGAGCGT